TATGATCAAACAAAGTTGAGTAAAAAAACATTCAGAGCAATTGCAATAACTTCCTAACAATTTCACTAATTACTGATCATATTCTTCAAGCCGTTTTGTGGAACCAGCAATTATTAAAAGAAAAACAAAGTAAATTCTTAAACACTTTGCTAATTACCAAATGAATTATGCAAAACTGTTTTTTTTTTCATAAATATCTCAATTTGGAGAAATAATAAATCTAGTAGGTCTTGCAATAATTTCAATTTCATTAATTTTGATTAAGTAAAATTTCTACTTATAGAAGCAGAAAAATAAGATTTCGATGGAAAATAAAAAAAAAAATTGTTTGAAAGAGGCGTAATCAGATTTGTTAGAATAGAAACCTGAAATTTCATTGTAAGTTGCAAAATAAAAGTTCAGTTTTGGAAAATATATAAACTGCTCGATGCAAAGCCTTGCGAACTCCCTAGCATCAGTTCCCTGGAAAATATCGACAAAAATTAAGCAAGGCGAAATAAATAAATAAAAAATGATTTCGATGAAGTGAGTAGAGAATAAACTTAAAAGAGAAGAAGAGGAAGAAGAAGACATAGAGGAACAATATTAAGAATAAGGATTACCTCGACATAAATCAACACCACTACAGTCCACAACCAACACGAAAGACAACGGCTTGGAGGAGAAAGAGCAAAAGCCACCGTATTAAGCTTAGGAAAAGACGAATAGTCGTAGCCTTAATACAAAACTGAAGAAACGAGAGGCGCGATCGGATGATAGATTAATAAAATAATTTTTAATTTAAAGAAATGAACGATCAATATTTGTAACGACATGATAATTACTATAATATAATTAAAATAATTAATTGGCAGGTAATGCTCGGTATAGCCAGGATATAGAAACGTTAGCTTTGATTTGTGAAATTAATTTTTTTTAATGAGTGAATAAATGTTTTGTAGGTAGAAGTTATGCAAATGTGTTATAAATAAAGAATTTGAAGAGTCATAAAAATGGACGTTCTAGATTATTTTTAAATTTATAAATAAACGATCAGGATTTGCTAAGAGTGGAATCCCAAGCCACTTTTATATAGTAGTATAGATAGTATAGATATGTGTATTCTAATATGCCCCGTCAAATTGATGGGTCTTGAGTGACCGTCAATTTGGAACGAAGATGATGAAATCGTGGTGTTGACAGAGATTTGATGAAAATATCGGGTATTTGATCCGTAGTACTGATCAGATGAAGAGTGATCTGATTTTGTTGAATGTTGTCGCGGAGAAATTTTTGATCAATTTCAACATGTTTTGTTCGGGAGTGAAAAACCGGATTGTTAGCCAAAGCTATAGCCGACATGTGTCACAATAGAGGTGTGTGGGGTAATCTTGCTGAATGCCGAAATCTTTGAGGAGACGCCGGAGCCAAATGATGTCCGACGTGAGTGCGGCAAGTGCCCTGTACTCCGATTCAGTAGATGATCTGGATACCGTTCGCTGCTTCTTAACTGTCCATGATATGAGTGTATCACCCAAGGAGCAAAAACTGGAAGTAGACTTTCTTGTAAGAGGATCACCAGCCCAATCCTCATCTGAAAAAGATTTTAATACCAAATTAGTTTTAGTGATCGGCAAACCAAATTGTAACGTACCTTTAATGTAGCGAAGCAATCGTTTTAACAGGTAAAAGTGTTGCGGAAGGGGCTCGTGCATACGTTGCGAGAGAAGATTGACGCTGAACGAAATATCAGGACGAGTTAATGTGAGATATTGGAGAGCGTCCGTAATGCTTCGGTAAAGAGAAGAATCCGACATAAGAGATTCTGTATTGAACGTAGGTGGGAGCTTGGTGCATGCCGGGTTTGAAAGAGGGTTGCAGAGCATAAGGTCCGCCTGCTGTAAGAGTTTAATTGCATACTTGGCCTGCGAAAGAAAATAACAATCAATAGATTTAGAAATTTTAATGCCCAGAAATTCATGGACTTCTCCCAGATGTTTCATGGAGAACTCATTATCGAGTTTTGCTAAAATGTTTTTGATTTAAGGTATATTATTTCCGGTAATTAGAATATCGTCTACATATATAAGAAGAAAAATTTGAACTTGATTCTTTCGGTAAATAAGCAGCGACGGATCAGCTTAACTGTGTGTGAATCCAAGAGTAAGAAGGAAAGAGGTGAACGTGTTGTATCATTGACGAGGCGCTTGTTTCAACCCATAAATGGCTTTGTTTAGGCGACATACATGATGGGGGTGAGAACGATCTTCAAAACCTTTAGGTTGTTTTATGTAAATGGTTTCCGCCAATGTGCCATGTAAGAAAGCATTCGCTACATCTAGTTGTTCTACCGGCCAATTGTTGTATAGAGCCAATGCGAGCAGAATTCGAATGGTTGGGAGCTTGACGACCGGGCTGAATGTTTCAGTATAGTCCGTTCCAAATTCCTGGTTGTTACCTTGAGCTACAAGTCTAGCTTTGTATTTTGCTATTGAGCCATTCGTGTGGAATTTGGTTTTGTAGGTCCATCTACTTCCGAGAATGGAAGCATTGAGTGGAGGTTCTACTAACGACCAGGTGCCTTGTTTTTGCAATGCAAGAACTTCAGCTGCCATCGCAAGACGCCAATGTTCCGATTTGGACGCTTCATTATATGACGTGGGATCAGTTTTGATGTCCGCATCTTTGAGGAAATGAATCAGGTTTAAACGTTTAGACGGTTTCAGAGATCCTGTCTGGCTTCGGGTGGTCATGGGATGCGACTTAGGCTGTTGTATCAGCTGATTTTGCATGCTAACGGAGGTGGCAGACACCTCAGTATCACGTGAACAAGAAGTGTCTGTTGTAGGATGAATACTGGAATCAGCCAGAGATTGTTGCATATTAGTGTTACCTGCAGTGGTTGAAGGAAAACTAACCGAAGCCGGTGTTAATAACAGAGGACAGATATCCGAAGGAGTAGTTTGAACTGATAATGAAGATTTTAAAAATGGAAAGTTGAGTTCATTAAAACGAACATGTCTAGAAACAATTATCTTATTAGTAAGAATATTAAGACACTTGTAACCTTTGTAAATTTCAGAGTATCCCATGAATACACACTGAAACAATGCTGGTTGAAGCTTAGTGCGATGTTGTGCTGGAAGAAGTGGGTAACATTCACACCCAAAAATCTTGAGATCGGTGTATACCGGTTTCTTGTTGAACATAAGCTCCAACGGGGATTTGTTGTTAGTGGTAGGAGAGGGTAACCTGTTAATGAGATATACCGAAGTATGGACCGCATCTGGCCAGTGTACATGAGGCATCGAGGCTGTGAGAAGAAGGGTACGAGCTGTTTCTATTATGTGCCGATGCTTTCTTTCAGCCAGACCATTTTGTTCCGGAGTGTATGGACAGGATAGTTGATGCGTGATACCGTGACCAGTTAGATAGTTTTTGAACATCGTGTTTACAAATTCGGATCTGCCATCTGTACGTAAAATTTTAATGCGATGCGAAGTTAAGCGTTCAATTTGTGTATGAAAATTAACGAACGTATGAAAAACTTCTGATTTGTATCGTAAAGGAAAAATCCACGTATATCTAGAAAAATCATCAACGAATATAACGTAAAATTTAAATCCTTGGCAAGATGGCGACGGAGCAGGGCCCCATACATCGGAGTGTATGAGATCCAGAGCTTGCTGTTGACGTTGAGGAGAGCTGTTAAAAACAAGTTTATGTGATTTCGCTGCTTTGCAAGAAGCACATTGATGTTCTTGTTTATTCAATTTCAGAAGTGGATTAGATTTGGAAATACAATCAAGAATACGTTTATGGGGATGTCCTAATCTATGATGCCAAATGTGAATGGCCGAAGAAGTAGTCGCAAGAGCTTGATGACTCCTTGATTGCGAGGCCATGGGGATGTTGTAGAGTCCTCCTTTACATGGTCCTTGAAGTATAATTTGCTGCGTCGTGAGATCCTTCAACATGAAACCAGATGGATCAAATATAATAGAGATGTTATTGTCTCTCATTAATTGAGAGATAGATAATAAATTGAATTTTAACGATGGAGAATGCAAAATTTGTGATAAATGCAACTTACTGGTTGGGGTCGGTAAAATACCTGCCCCAGTATGTGCGATATTGATCGACGAGCCGTCTCCAACAGTGATGTTGTCCTGACCATGATATGGCTGGACTAGAGATAAGTTGTCCAGCGAGTTTGTAATGTGGGACGACGCCCCAGAATCCAGGAACCAGGAAGGTTCAGACGACTCCGATCCGCCAGTAGTGTTATATTCGTATTCTTGGTCGCAGGTATGTACTGAGGATTGAGCCTGTGCCAGCAAGTTTGAGCCGAATGACCTTTCTTGTAGCAAATTTGGCAGTGGGTGGCCGCATTTGGATTTTGACGATTTGCAGAAGGAACCGAGGTATGATCTGTAGAGTTGTTACGCGTGATGGAGTTGGAATAATTCTTGTTTCATGATCTGCGTCCACGACCTCTGTCCGTGTACAGAGCCATGGTGGGATCGGGACCAGTGGAGTAGCGGGCCGCATCAGATGCAAGATTTATTTCTGTGTTATGAGTGCAAGACAGAAAGAAGAAACTTAAAACTGAAAAGAAAAGAAATTAATTAAGAAAATGTCTACTTGAAGTAATTATTTGAATTTAAATTTTTTTTTTTGAAAATTAATCTTTAAATTTGGGCCAACTTGACTTTATAGCATGTGCAGAGCACTCAAGTTTTTTCCTCCTATTGGGTCAATATTAAAAAAAAATTTAAAATCATTTCACCCTCATGGGAGAGAGAGAGAAAGATAGAGAGAGAGAGAGAGGAAAGAGGACTATAAGCCTATAACTAGTAGCAAGAACAAAATAACAAAATGTTGAAGGTAAAAAAATGACAAGAGAGAGAGTAGAGAGGAGAGAAAGAAAGTGAAAAAAAAAAAAAATTCTCCTATGGTAATCTAATTTTATATTGAAAAAATTTTTTTTGCCCCCCCTCCCCTAAATCCGTCGCTTCCTGCGAGCGGTTTCATAATCAAGATTAAATGGAATTTGCATGCATATCTTCATATTGTATATTGATATTTCATAATACATATAAACAATGAAGTGATTAATTTAATCTGAATATAAAAATCAACATAAGCAAGATTAACGTTGGGCCCTCATTTAAATTTTTTTTGCTTCACCATTGTATGTCGCATAGCACTATAAATAGGAGAAATATGTCTGAAAATTTGCTCCAAATCAAAATATAAATCCATAATAAAAGATAACCAATGAAATAATTTGATAAAAAAAATTCAATGTAACTTTAACAAATTCAACTTAATGTGGAAGGAAAGATGATTCATACCTTCATTAAAATATACTTCTTCAATATTTTAATTGATTTTACTATGATAATTATTGTAAAATAACTCCCACATAAATTTATAATTTTTCTAAATAAAATTAGGTATAAGTTGTAACACTGCAATGCTCTGGGCAAGTTCTCAAACTCCCTTGTTTAGTAGATTGTAACTATATGGTCTTGCACTTAGGCACTATCTACTATGTTATAAGTTTTAAAAATTGAATGCCTCAGACCTAAAAATGTAGTGCCTTAGCACTGTCATGTTTCTAGGTGATGACAAAGAGCAAATCATGACACCTATCATCTCTTGAAACTAAATTTCCTTCATCCTTATATTAGATTCATTCTTGCTCTTATTTGCTCTAATATTTACATTTTTCTTTTCACAATAAAGAGTTATCACATAATTTATCCCATTTTTTAAAATATTACTTTAAAAATGTTAATTTAATATGATATTCTAGTGAGTGAAAACTCACCAATCACTAAGGATGGATAAGCCAAAAATAAAATAAAAAGTTACAATATTGTGATTAAATTAAAAAGTTATAATCTTATACATAATTATTAGATAAAAAAAAATATTTACTTATGAGTTATGGCAATAAATCATTGCTTGTGAGCACCTTATTGCTCCTCTAATTTGGCATCATTGGTACTCTCCCTCCAAGAAACTCAACATATCTCTTTCACGGGTTTAGAATGGCTTCATAAGCTCAATACTATAATGATAATGTACATCCAATTATGGTGTATTGAGTCAGGGCATTCTTCTTTACTGCACATCCTCGTAGTGCAATATGTTTCTCTCTGATTCTCATAACATCCTCTCCTATGACATTATACTCTATGAGTATTAAAATAATTTTAAATTTTAACTCAAGAGGTATTTGAGTTTTAGAATATGCAATGTATATAAATTTATGATTTAATTCGTTCAAAATTCATATATATGATTTCTTTTTTTTTTTTTTTTTTTGCTATGATCATATCAAACATGTTTTAGTAATGACAATAATAAAAATTATTTTAGAATATTCTCTAAAATTATTAAATATATTAATTTTTCTTTGTTCCTCCATGAAAAAGATGCATTAACACTCCTTTGGGAGTTTTTTTCCTGTCACATTAAATTATATTATGCAATTTTGTCAATCACAAATAAATATTCATAGCCTTAAAGTTGTGATGAGAGTTTGTTATAGAATGCATCGACAGGTTTTGCACACGGAAGTTGCAATCAAAGCTTGTTGTAAAAGTAGTCAATGGGTTCATTGGCTTTTAGAGAAGAAAAGGAGTTTGTGAACTAGAGGTGAATTGGTCAATTAGAGGAGAAAAAAAATTAGATTTAGAATTTTTAATCAAGGTAATTAATGAGTCAATGAGTTGAACAACCTCTAGCTTGAGTTCAAGTTTCTATAATATACGAGCTCAAGTTTGAGCTCAACTCTCAATAGGAATACAAATCTGCACGTATAAAAAGCTTAGTTCTCCATTGTTCAACACAGTAAAGTTACTGGAGCTTTCACCATCATACAAATTGAGATCAAAATAGAGAGAATACTTGCAATTTGCAAAGAACTCAACACTTTTATGATCAAAGTAACATTACAAAGGACTCTCTCTACTATAAAAATACCTCCATAATTTTATGTTCATGGATAATGCACTCGCAAACTAAATATAGCCATGGAAAAACAGTTCTGGTATTAATCAGCACAGCAACCACCAATGTTTGCAGGTTTTTTTTTCCCTTAATCTATAAATGAAAATTTTGAGATTCTTCGGCAACTCAATTGACAGGAAAAAAATATAGCACCAAAGTTCTGCTAACAAGTTCACCAATTTGAAAGCTGAAATTGTTACAAGGCCAAATTAACCCTTCCTAAAAATAGGAAGCCAAACCAGCCCATATATGCCATATAAATATTTCTGTACAGGGGAATGAAAGTAATCAAAACATTTGATGGATACCCTATATAATAAATACATGATGAAGATCTTCCTCCTCCCTTTTCCCATATAATTGCTTTCTTATTCGCTTTTTCACCACAGGGTGGTGGCAATCTAGACAAATTTGCCAGTCATTGGGAACAAATAATGGGAGGTGGATGGAAGTTTGCTTTACAACAGAGAAAGAACATCGATCACCAGTCCGGTCGCCTGCCCTACCGGTGCTTTTCGCACATCTGACAAACGTTTAAAGATCTAGGGTTAGCATAGGTGCAGTGTTCACAAGACCAAAGATTTCCATCGTCCGTAGTACGGCCAGCGACTCTGGAGCTTGTCCCTGTTACCTTAACCTTCCCCATCTTGCTTCCCTTTCCCCCTACCAGATTCTTTGAGCTGGAACTCTTGCTACAAGTAGCCTGATTGCTTGAAGGTCCCACATCCTTCAGCCCAGTCTCTAATGCCCGAACAAGGTTTTCAAAATAGTTCCGGGTCACACTGTAAGAGAAATAGATTTTCATAAGGTCAGATCATTCAGCGAGATATTTAAGAGTTGTCACTTGTTGGCAGGGGCGGATCCAGTTTCTTTTTTCAGGGTGGGCAAATATTTTTTTTGTGGGAAATGGTCAAAAGATGCTTAGGATTGATAAAGTCAGATCAAAAAAATTTTTGAGGGCGCCAAAATACACAAAATATCCTCTCTAAATTTTTTTTTTTTGGGTGGGCATTTGCCCATCCTGAGCACATGGGGGATCCGCCCATGCTTGTTGGGACGAAAACAAAACCTAGTAAGCCCAGCGAGTTTGGTGCGAAAATCATTGAAGTCCTTCATAGGAGCTTCTGCTTCTAGATAAACTTGGAGTTCCTTCTCTGCGCACTGATGAAGCCGCTCCAATCCAGCTTCCGCCTCACCTACAGAACTAAAGATATTATTATGTGCCTAACAGACTATATATATCCCATCAATCTAATACAATATCGAGTTATGAACCTTGCAAATACTCAAAAAACTGTCGCTTTGCATGTTCATGCTCGGGAAGGTAATAGCCATACGCATAGGTCCATTTCAATACTCTCCGGCACTCCACAATCTGTAATAAGGATTTAAGGGGGTTATTTGTGGAAGGATCCGACAAAAGCAAGTGAAGATCAGCGGATAGAAACAATGGCATAAAAAGTTTGTGCTTACCTGTAACCAAGACTCAATTATGAACTTGAGTTGAGACTCGGGTTGGCTTTGCCTATCACTCAATTTCTCAAGCTACACAATTATTCAAGAAAACAAATAAAAATGGTCAATTTAATGATAAAATACTAGGGGCAAGAAATAATAACTGGATTGTCTTGAAACCCATTAAAGGCAATCCATCTTTGTACTAAGCTAAAATATTAAATACCCTAATGCCACAAATTTTATTATAAGAACTCTTAAAAATTCCTCATATCTTTTGAGTTTATCACCAGGTCATTGAACCACACATGGCGGCCATAGGTAAAAGATATATTAGATATAATGATTTTATGTGTGTAAATACTAAGAACTTAAATATAATTGTTTAAAAAATAAAAAAAAAGATATTTAAATAAAAATAGAAAAATGTCCAAAAATAAAATAAAAGGGATTTACATACAAACCATTGAATTCTCATATAATTATATATCTAATTTCTAAATCTTCATATTTTTAGTTATATTACACCCTAATCTCTAAATGCCATAAAAATATTATTAATTTTAATTTATAAAGTAAAATATAATTTCGAATGCATATTGATGTCATCTAAATAAATATAAATTTTAGATGTTAGATATATAAATACACATGAATTTAGAAACAATATCCACGAAAGCCTCAATAAACTGATAAGCAGTTCTGATGTTCCATTTATTCCATTCAAATTTATAAATTTTCAGTAGTAAGTTCATCATCGAAGCTTCCGTAGCATGATTACTTTCCTGGTTAAGCTACACAGACCTCTAATAAATACATACACACAATACACTTTCTATACAGTATTACAGTCATGCATATTCATCTCATTATCAGCAGCAGCATTACAGGTCTCATGGAAATTATAGGTGATTTACTCTAGCAATAATGCTTATTGAGTTCAAGCAAGTACTTCTATTTGAAACCTAAAAGGGCGTACCTTTTCAACTTGCATACTATGCAGATCTGCGAGTGCCTTTTGTCGAGACTGCCAAACAAGAAAACAATAAATAAGTTAGCATGCCAAATTGAAAAAAAAAAAAAAACATCAATTTAAACAAAAACAATTACCTAATTTAGCCGAGCCAAATAACTTCAAAACACAAAACTTGCCTACTAAATTACAAGATAATAATATAAATCCATCACAAAGAACTCGAAAGGAAGAGATTTTTCATCTCATTATGATTTGGTCCAATACTAAAGAATTTCCCTCGTGACTTCAAAATAATAAAAATAATAAAAGCTAACAAAGGAAAGATGAATATGAAAGCATGAATCAATAATTTCATGCACCTGAACGATGAAACCCAGGGACGCCTTTTTTGCAATGATCACCAAAACTTTTTCCCTACCATAGGCTGTCAACGGGGTTCATTTTCTAATTTAACTTATATGCCAAAGAAAGTTGAACTGAAACATCAACAATATCACTGTAAAATTAAATTTGAAAAACTTGAATCGTGCCACTTTTAACAACTAAAGATGTATATTTATTTCAGGAAATTCTCTTCAAACTTTACGTTATAGAGCATTCCGGAAAATTTTCGCATCTCATAGTTTGACCTTTGCAGTAGCATAGCCTTGTTTGTTTATGAAGAAAGCGAAACTCTTTAATCCATTACTCTCACATATGCCAAACTGTAAATCCTAGCTTTCTCACCGATATCAGGTGTTGACCAGATAAACAAAACTTATAATGGATAAAAAAGAAATAGCAGTCTGACCTAAAAGTGTGATAACAGCTACCAAAATCTAACAGAATGGATTAAAAATAAATAAATAAATAAATAATCTAACAGAATGGATATAAATGCGTTAGGAAAAAAACTTAATTTTTATGAGGAACATGAACTAGATATGAATACAAAGAATACACAAAATATAAAAACCACGAAACCAAGATTGCATGACTAGGCTAAAACATGCCTAAACACAGAAGGAAAGAGAGAAATAGGATCAGATCCACTATAAAGAAGTCGCACATATGTAAAAATAAAAGAGGCCTAAGAACAAACTCTTTTCCAAACCTAAATATAGCAATTTGACAGTAAAAAGAAGCCTCAAGCCTTTCAAGCTTAAAAGGAGAGGAAAAAGCAAAAGAATGAATAAAGATAGAACTATGCTACAAAAGTGCCCACCTCAAAATTTCCTTAATAGGTATAGCATCTCTATGTCTAGAGTAAAACAACTATGATGTTATTTGACCAATCTACAATAACACTAGCATTTATTGACTTGTCACCTTTTGATTGTCATTCGCACGCTACACTGAGACAGAACACAGTCAGAGATACATATATATGTTTGATTCTTGATAAAACATCACCACCTGAAATCAGATTGCAAGGCACAGACAGAACAGAAAACAAAATCTCACTTCATTTTTGAACTTTTCTTACAATGCAACCAGGCGTTTATAGTTGCAAATTAATTATATAGATAGCTACAAATGAATTAAAAAGCAAATAGCAGCACTCCCAACTATGTAGCCTTTCGTTCAATGCGACGAAACAGTAACAGAGGTAAAAATTGCTGATTCCGTTTAGTGACATTGAAGATATCTACAAGAAGATCAATTTGATAAACATTATAAGTGAGATGTAGAGATACAACATGTGGACATTAAAAATCAATTAGCAGACATTTTTATCAAACCCCCAAATTTTGATAGGTTCAGCACACTTAGAACTAAGTTGGGAGTTACTGATATAAGTGCTTAACAAATTGGGGTCATTACACGTTATAATTGTTGTTTATGTTTGATATATTTTTTGTATTTATATGTGTCGTGTTTTGTTTTACATTTCATGTTTGTGCATATCATTCTCGTTGTATTTTATAATATGTTGAAAATTGCACATACCAATACATGGAATTATCTTTGATCATCACACACAACACTAAAATTCTCTGCACATCATACTATATGATACACGTCGATTGGCACACATAAACCATTCATTTGAAACCAACGACTGAGATTAAATTAATTATTGTGTTTCGTATCGTAAGAACACCCTATCATATTGTACGAATGATGTGGAAAAAATCGTTGGCACAAACTTAAATTTGGTTGGTATGATTCTTAATTACATATCCTACTGTACGAACACCTGTTCATACCAAACGATCCATTCAATCGATGATCGTACAAAAACCCATCATGACAAATGAAAATATGAAGTTCATATTGTGCGATCCCCGATGGTACAGTACGATCCCCTGATTGTACAGGACAATTTGACCAAATTTTTGTACTATTCGAAAAAGGTGATTTGGATTCTTCTATTTGTACTGTATAATCAGACAGAGTTTATAAATGGAAAAGAAAATTTCATTACAAAAGCACATCAATCCTATTCCACACTTCTTCCCTTCAAAATTTTCTTGTCCCAAACATTTCCAATGGCTGACAAGAGAGCTTGACTTCTCATAGGGTGACCCTCTGGAGCCCGAGTAGATTATCGATTTCAATCAGAAGAGGATGCCATCACTTACAAGAGATACTGAGAGGCCACCATCACCACTTCCAAAGCATAAGTTCAAGAAAATCTTCAATATCAGGTACTTGACCTATATGTAGGTACTACATTACAATTTCTTTTTACATTTGCCTTTCCATTCAATAGCGAGCTATCATGTGAATTTTTTGCAAGTATGAACATTAATGACGAGCACACTTCTCTTCAATCTTATGTCTGTTGGCGACCAATAGAAATTATCAACCAAGATTTTTATGAACACCTACACATCTCTACCACTGGCACTAACCCCATGATACATCCATCGTTAGTGATTATAATTCGACTTAGGTAAACATCACACTTACAAACGCTCCAATGAGTCTTCATCAGCCTTTAGTCAACACTTCAGTCCTAAATGCACATATCATACAACACGGTCTTAGAAACTCAATTATACCCAAAGTTGGCAATAGGATTAACATCACTCCATTGTTATCCATTATCACCTACTTTATCATGACCGACACTGAATTTAACGTAACATATATGCTTATCTGTTACATCAAAAATCTTACTACAATCAAGAATTTTAAGGCACGACGTAGGCAAAACCTAGCATTAGGACATATCATAGCCTATATATTAGCTGCAAAGTACAACCATATGTATCCTACCCCAACATATCACTTCCTTGTCTACTTCATAGATAGTTCTTTTCATCTCCTCTATAACAATAAACATCAAGGACCACATGTTGTAGAGGAATACAATTCAAATGTGAGCACCAGTCCCCGAGGCACTAGCCAACGTAGCACCTGCACCCGTCTTCCAGCCGCCACCTCCTAACTCGTAGATTGAGAAATTTGATCGCTCATAGTGGAGATTAGACACACATATTCAGGAGTCCACATCATGTTGGGAGCAGCTACAAGAGCAGTTCTCTTCCTTGCAACCATTGCTTTCAGATGTCACCACCACCACCTGACTAGGGTCTATTTGATAAGGAGTGTCTCATTTGTACTTTGTTTGTTGTACCTTTTGTTTTAGTTTTTTTCTTTTCCTTGCATTATAATTATGTTTTTAGTTCCTCTTTTTGGTGACATAAAGTGGGGGAATGGCGAGTCACGGTGGTTGTACTTTTTTGCTTTTGACTAGTTAAATTTGTTTCTTTGCAATATTTATATTGTTGCATTTTGTTTTAAAAATTAAAAAAAAATTGTGTTTTAAAATAAAAATAAAATAAAATAATATAAAAAAAAAATCAAATGTTACCTTACTTTTTTTAAAACAAGTCATTTAGTGAAGGAGAGAATTTAACAAGGAATATAATATGAAAATTTCAAATTTAAATCTCAACAAACAATATTGTTGTCATAAAAAAGGGAGATTATTACAATTCCATAGCCCAGCCTTATCTTTTGATTATTACAAGCATTATTGCATGATCATTTACTTATTCCTACATTATACATTGCATGTTTCTTGTGTGTCACTAATCAATTCAGATACAATATACACCAGCAATAATTGAAGAATCAAAACTCAAGATAGTGAAGTGTAAGGATCTAAGTAAGTTTGTGTTTAATAAAGTTTGTACTTTTTTTGAGTTATTTTATATATTAGATATATGTTGGCTAAACAACTGAGCACACACTCACAAGGGGGACAACGTCTACGCCATAGCGAGGAGCTAATGTAGTGAGCAATATCTCCACCATAGCGATGAGCTAAAGTAGGGAGTGATATCTCTACTAGCGAGGAGTTGCGAGAGGGACATCTCCATCCGGCCGAGAGACAAAAGGAGGGAGATTCTTCAAGGTCTGAAGAATCTATAAAAGTCATTCTCCATCTGGTTGAGTGTCAAAGGAGCGTCAGTTAGTACAATGCCTAAAGAGAACCTTTGGAGAGTGGATGTAGATGATTCAACCAAATCACTATAAATCTGGTTTGCATACTTTTGTTTTCCCGCAATTACTTTCTTGCATTTACCTTATGCACTTTGGTTTACTTTGTTGATCTTTGGAAAGTTGTGATTTAAATTTTTTTTTTCTTGTTGAAATTTTGGTTGAAAGATAAAAATAAAAAAAAAAAGAATATTTTTTCTAAAAGTTGAAAAAAATAAAAATATTTGTTTCTCGTTTTTGTTTGAAAATTTTTCTTAAAGCTTTTAGATGTTTCTTTGCTTAATTTTCAAGCAAGAAATTTTTTTTAAAATATCAATTCAAACCCCCCCCCCCATATGCCATAGCACTTTCAAGTGATATCATTGTTGACTCTACATTTCAAAACATATAAACCCAAGATATTATTTTTTATTATTGAAGGAATTTTGTCAGCAGGCCGGACGGAATGAATCGAGTGGAGTTTTGCATAAGACTAAGGCAAGATTTAGGGGATGACTTGGAAATTATTTCATAAAATTGAGTCAAGGTATTAAGAATGCATTTAATTTATTTTTCTCTATCTATGAAATGAGAAAGGAACAATTTAGAATAATTAGTATTTCATATTTATAAGCTCA